TTTTGAATTAAAATACAAGAGAATTTTCTTTCTGCTGTATTCTCCACTCCACCGAAAAGTCAAATACCATCTACATAATGGACAATTGTATTTACGCTTTCCAAATTTCGATTCATCAAGTTGAACCGAAATTTCTTCACCACCAATCAGGGTATCACTTATATCAATATCTTCAGCTATTTGTGTTTTTATAGCTGTTAAGTATTAGAAATGATGGCGCTCGAATACCTTGTTTAGTTCTGATAGTTGTAAATGTGCATTTTGCCAAATAGTAATATGCTATAGTAAAAAATTCAGTTAATTTAATTAGAGTTGAAAAAAATTCAGTTTTCAAATATAGAAAATTTGTAATTACAATTTGTGTTACGACATCTTAGAACATTTTTCTTTAATTCTATTATATTTCCTTTGCATCTAACACAAAAATCGGGGATTTTTAATATACTTTCTTCCAACAAAATATTTTTACATTCTTCTTCATATGGAAAATTCTTTCTAATTCTTTTATTTTTGGAAGCATAGGGGAAGTTTTTAAGAAATTAAAATAAATGACAGGAGAAATTTGATACTGGCATGCTCATAAAGTAGATCCTTTTTTTCTTCTATTTTTATCTCAAATGCATATTTATAAGCAAAGGAATAAGTTTATTAGAGTTCTATATATTTTTTTTCCGTAAAAACAAATGATTAATTCGGCTCAAAAATTATATAACTCCTGCCATTGACCTTTCAGCTTCCTTAGCTCAGCTGGTTAGAGCGTGGTGCTAATAACGCCAAGGTCTTGGGTTCGATCCCCAAAGGAAGCATATATTTTGTATTCAACATTTTTTGATGTATTTCATAAAAAATAAAATGTGATTTCGTATCCCAACAAGAAAATACAAATTAAAAATAGCAAATTATTCTTTTTATTTCCGTTTAACTATTCTTGCTGTGCATTATTTTATCTCAATTTACTTAATCCTGCTAAATGAAGACTAAATTAAGGCAAAAATAGATTTATTAAAAAATAAAGATAAAATGTAAAATAATTAAATTTAATTCCTTAAAAATAGTCCCTTATAGTGTTAAAAACCTCAATCGTGAGCCTAATAGAACTTCCTTGCATCTCCAGTACCTATATAACTAAACAGGTGATCTTACAGATCATCATAGTGATATGGATTTCACGGGAATATATCATAATTAAGCATCATTTCCGTAACAAATATCATATATTTCACAATAATAAAATAAAACTTATGAACTGTAACATTTTTTTAAAAACTTTTGTCATTATAAACCTCACACTGCTTCTACTTTGCACTTTGCCCCCAATGATGTAACAAATACTTCCTTAATTAGCCTTTCTTACCGTCTAAATCAGACAATTTCTCCTCAAGAAATTAAAAAGAGGAAATATAAAATTCCTGATTCTGATTGGCTGGAGTGAAGAAAACTTAAGGAAAAATTAAATATATTATTATGGAGAAAAATTTATATAAAATAAAAAATGTTTAATTCAAAGCTCCTCTTCCTCCTCGCTGATATAAAGATACCTAACAGGGACCAGTGATACGAGGATACGGCAGCATTGTCGGTATTTATGTAATTACTATAAAAGTAATGCTAAAATATCAAAATGTTCAGTCTTTATACTACATCAAAAATAGTTTTTAAAACAGAGATAAATTTACTGATTAACATCTAAAACTAACGTAGGTTTAAAAATTTTAAATATTTTTACAAAGATTTTTTAGAATAATAAGACTTTCCATAAAAGCTTTGAAATATTTATAAATGGAAAGATTATTATTTAAGAGGTTTCTGAACAATTAACAGGGACATTTATGAAAAGAACAATAATAAAGAAATTATCACTCAAAAACGGGAGCAAAAAATTGAAAAAGATATAAAATGCTTAAGAATTTTATGTATAATAATGTAGTTCAATATTGAGATTGTATTGTAAAAGGAATACTGCATAAT